CACAGCTCCTGAATCTCAGAGGGAAGGCTGGAGTGGGTGGGTGGGACTAGCTCAGCCGGGGGCAAACTACGGCGCGCGGGCTGGATCCGGCCCGTTTGAAATGAATAAAACTAAAAATAAAAAAGACCGTATCCTTTTATGTAATGATGTTTACTTTGAATTTATATTAGTTCACACAAACACTCCATCCATGCTTTTGTTCCGGCCCTCCGGACCAGTTTAAGAACCCATTGTGGCCCTCGAGTCAAAAAGTTTGCCCATCCCTGGTTTAGACTAAGCTGAAAAATGTGGAGACTTTTGAAAGTACACAAAAGGAAATAGTTGATTTTGTTTACTAATTTTCAGTTGCACTTTTCAATTACCTTTTTTTTTTTTAGCATATGTAATCTTAGGTCTCTCTCTCTCTTTTTTGTTAATCCTCATCTGAGGATATTTTTTCCATTGTTTTTAGAGGGTGGAAGCGAGGGAGGGAGGGGAGGAGAGAGAGAAACATTGATGTGAGTTATACATTGACTGGTTGCTTTCCACAAGAACCCTGACCGGGGGTGGGGAGCAAACCTGAAATCCAGGTATGTGCCCTTGACTGGAAATGGAACTCGAGATTCTTTGGTGTGCAGGCTGACACTAATCATTGAGCCACACTGGCCCGGGCAGTTTCTCTTACTATAAACTAAAACCCAGACATTCTACCTCTTTTGTTCAATTTGTACAAGTGGGTGATTTGTAATATCTTTTTTTAAAAAAATACGTTTTATTGATTTTTTACAGAGAGGAAGGGAGAGGGACAGAGAGTTAGAAACATCAATGAGAGAGATCGATCAGCTGCCTCCTGCACAGCCCCCACTGAGGATGTGCCCGCAACCAAGGTACATGTCCCTGACCGGAATCGAACCCAGGACCCCCCAGTCCGCAGGCCGACGCTCTATCCACTGAACCAAACCGGTTCGGCTGTAATAATATCTTTATACTTGAAGTTGAGTACAATGTTCTACTCAGTTGATATATTCATATCTCTGATATGTCACCTGCTTAGGGAAAGGCCTGTTATTATTCATATATAAGGCTTTCTCATGGTAATATAATAATGAAAAGAAGAAACTAAGTGTGCATGGTAATTGTTTTATAAAGTGTTTATTAGTGCTATCTTGAAGGTATATTGATTTTTAAAAAGATTATATACTTTAGTTTTAAATATTATATATAACTCACAAATACTGTAGAAACCAAATACTTGTAATTGGTGTAGTTTTGAAGCATAATGTTAATTATCTTAGAGTCATTTCTGTTGTACTTGGTGAAGTGACATCACTTCACATTATTCTAAGATGACACTAAGGCCTTACTTGCCACCAGAACCACCAGAAGACAGCTGCTCTGAATAAGTAAGTCTCACCATGTTTCTTAGCTCATTAAGTCCATTGAGATGCCATTGTTAATGCATAGCTTTAGGTGAATATTTAAATTGTTCTATATAATTCTTAATTTTATTTCTATGACCTACCTTTAATGCCATAAAATGATAGTGCTAGGTGACAAAAATAAGAATTAAAAAGTTAGTAATTTCTGTTGACTAAATGTTAAATTAATAAAATTTTAAATAATTCAGAAGACATATTTTTAAAAAACAATTGTTATATTATTTGCACCAATGGTAAAAAGCAAATACTCCTGATAAATAAAAGTAAACAGTATGAACAGTATTTTACAAATGAAAATGAATCACATCTTTTTTCTATCACATAATTGAAAAACAAAATTGAAAAACAGCTCAGGAGGGGTGGCTCAGTGGTTGAGCATCGACCCATTGATTCCAAGTGCCTGGGTTGCAGGCTTGGTTCCCAATAGGGGGCATATAGGAGGCAGCTGATCAGTGTTTCTCTCTCATTGATGTCATTTCTCTCTATCCCTCTCCCTTCCTAAAATCAGTAAAAACATTTAAAAAAATTGAAAAACAGTAGTAAAAGCCACCTTAAACACATGACTTTTCAGAAAGCTGTAACTTACTTGTTTCCTGAGAGGAAAGCTCAGCATGTTGGGAGGCGTCATTCTTGCTGCCTGTTGTCTTTCTCTCTTTGACACAATAGAGCATCCTTTGTGACTACGTAACTACGATGGGTAACTCTAGTTACCAGTAATTATGCTTCCTCTCTCTGTGCAATCAGATGAAAAGCAAAAAGGAAATATTAAGAATAGTGTGTCCTTCCTTTCTCTTTCCTTATACTCAGACATTCATTCATTTATTCATTCACACCTTAATTCAGTGAACATTTCTGGGGTACAAGTTGTGTGCCAGGTATTATAAAATTGAATAAAGCATGGACTTGGCTTTAATGGATTTAAAAAATAAATTTTTATTGATTTCAGAGGAAGGGAGAGGGAGATAGAGATAGAAACTCAATGATGAGAGAGAACCATCGATTGGCCACCTCCCACCGTGGACCAAGCCCACAACCAGGGCAATACGCTCCTGATTGGAATCAAATCCAGGACCCTTCAGTCTGTAGGCTGACGCCCCACCCACTGAGCCAAACCAGCCAGTTTATAGTTTAGTTTCTTTTGTGCTACTCCATTCTTACTGTAAGAATTCAAATTTTCTCTCTCTCGGCTTAAATTCTGTATCTTTAAAAATAAGGTTTAGATTCCTTTGTGAGGAAGAATGCCTTTCGAGGATGAGTTAAAATTCCAGGCATATGGAATGCTTTAGATTCTTTTGGAAAGAGACCTGGGAGTCCGAGTCCGAGGTGTCCTAAGGAATCTATACCCTCATACATCAGGAGTTAAATAGGCCAGAAGTGTTTATAAAGAGAATGCCACAGTGTTTATAGTGGAAAGTGGAATTTAGTATCGCAGAAAAATCAAGAGATACTCATTTATATTTATACTGCTTTGGCCTGTTAGCCCCTGAAATAGCTCAATGATGTAATAAAGCAGTGATATGACACTTCCATGATAAGTTCCCATCATTTAGCTGCATTGTGAAGAATAAGGCACTCAAATGGTGATCATCAGTTCATACAGCAATCATTTACTTCATCTATATTGGTTGTCGCTGATTCTAAGGAAACTTTATTTTTTTAGAAATGATAATTTTTTTTATACTATAGTATTACGTAATAGGACTAAAAAAGGTAGGGGGCTTTAAAAATCAAATCCTTATCTGATATCTATATGTCTTGACATAGTGTTTTAGTATTTAAAATCTTAAAAAAGTATTTAATGTGATAACAGCTTTATTGAGGCATTATTGACATAGCATAAAGTTTACCCTTTAAATTGTATAGTTTAGTGGTTTTTATTGTATTTATAAGTTGTGCAGTCATTAATATTGTTATTACCCAAAATGTAATTTTATTTTTGAACTCTATGAAAATAAAAACCCTTTTCAAAATTCAAATTTTTCTTTAAAAATTATCCTTTTACTGAGTTTCGGTTTGGGATGATGAAAAATTTTTGATAGTGGTGATGGTTGCACATTTTGAATGGACTTAATGGCACTGAATTGTAAAAATGGTAAATTTTATAATTTATATATTTTGGCACAATAAAAATTAATATCCATTTATGTATAATCAGAATTGGTAGCTAAACTTTGAAAGTTTTGGAAATTTCAGTCTGAGCAACGCATGGACCTAATTTTTCTCAAACATGTCATAGCAAGGATATTCTTATAGGTTAACAATCTTGTTATTAATTTTCAAGTTGAAAACAGACATTAGCATGTTGTAAGTATTTTTATAGAAATTTCAGTCGAATTAACTGAAGAAGTAAAGCTTTTCTTTGCTTTAATTTTTTTGTCCTTGAAAAATCAATGCCAGACAATGCAAAACCATTATATAAAGGGAGAATTAGTAAATATGACACACATGCACACATGATAACATATAGTAGCTGTTTATAGATGCATAAACAGTTTCTGGAAGGAGTCAGAAGAAACAGTAACGTTAGTTCTGGGCCCGAAAGCTGGGTGGCTGGGGTTCCTGGGTAGGAGTGGTATTTTCCAACATATGGATTATTACCTATTAAAACATTTTTAATAAAAATTTTATTATCCTGATCCTAGTCTCAGAATCAGCATGACTGTGTTTCTTCCTATACTGTGCTTTGTTACAGGATATTGTATTGAAATTAAGATTGTTTTGAAAATAAGCTACATTACTTTAAGAAGTTGTTTTCTTTCTAGGACTTGATTATGGATTGAGTTTACCACTTGGGGAAGACTATGAACGGAAGAAACATAAACTAAAAGAAGAATTGCGGCAAGATTACAGACGCTATCTTACTCAGGTAAAGAGTTCTGTTAATTAGTTGAGTCTTAGGCTTCCGAAGTCATTGAGCCTGCATCCCCAGCATGTGCAGTTAACAGGAATCGAACCAGTGACCTCTTGGTTCATGGATCGACACTCAAGTAGTGAGCCACACTGGCCAGACTTTAAGTTTTAAAATCCAATTTTCTTTTTAGGTTATAAGGTTATTTTAAACAAGCATGATGTTTGTAATCGTCCTAAGATAGTCTTAGTTTTTTTAACTACTTTGTAACTTGTTCCAAATTTGTAAATGCGCTCTTATTTATTCTGATTTGCGCATGGAGAGAAAGGACTTTGAATACATTTCATCAATGGTTTGTTTCCCTTGACTTTAGGGTATTACAGAAGCAAAGAGAAAGGTAGGGTTGCCTGCGGAATGTTCTCCTTTAGATTTTTTTTTTTTTAAGATCTAGTAGCTTGCAATCATTGGCATCTATGATATTGCTGCTCTCTCTCATGGGAAAAACAGCTTCATTTGTGGTTTGAGACTTTTGAATGGCACCATTTTATAATTTTGCTTTTAGCAAGATGACATTATAATTTTCCATTAATTCACTTAAGCAGTATTTTTGATTTCTGCTTTGCATTTGTTTTTGTTGTTTTCTTATGCATCCTTTAGAAATATTCTGCATCTATAAGTTCATTTGTTTTCATCATACTAGTTTTGTTCTTCAAATTATGTTATAATCACATAAAGATTAATAAAATAGGATATTCAAGATACTCTAAAATGTTTTTGAACTGTGTATTGTCAAGATTTGGATGACTAGATATTTTTGCATCCAAACATGTAGATTGCATTTGTAAATGTATATTGGAAAACAAAGACAAACAGTCTTATAGAACTATTTTTAAAAATAATCTCTTACATCCATTTATCATTCAACCAACACTTTTTAAACACTTACCATGAAGATGAATCAGGTATGAATCCTGTCTTCAATGGTTTAGAATCTAGCTGTAGAGATAATATTCATACAAAAGTGATAACTCTAAATGAGAAGCATAGTATGATTGGGAAAGGCCTCAGTGTTAGTTTGTAAGGCATGGTAAGGTAGAATTTGGATGTTCTAGAGGGCAATCCGGGGAGGAGGGGGAGCTTTTCAGATGGAGAGTTTAGAATAAAGGAGGGCTTGAGGGGTAGACTTTAGCTTTATATGAATGAGGCATATTAGGTTTACCAGCCTGGCTGAGTTAGATTCTTTTTGAGAGTAGTAAGAAGTAATCATGTAGCTAGAGAGGTTAGGTTCTGGTTAGAAGGCAGTAAAAATTTTTTTAATATATTTTTTACAGAGAGGAAGGGAGAGGGATAGAGAGTTAGAAACATCGATCAGCTGCTTCCTGCACATCCTACTGGGGATGTGCCTGCAACCAAGGTACATGCCCTTGACCGGAATCGAACCCGGGACCCTTTGGTCCGCAGTTCCGATGCTCTATCCACTGAGCCAAACCGGTCAGGGCAGAAGGCAGTAAATTTTTAACTTGGTGTATAATAGGCAGTGGTGATATATTGTACCTGCTTAAGCAGCCTATGAGGAGCTTTGTAACTGTTTTAGGACAGTTGTACATGTTAGAGACTCTTATTAATGTCCTAAATTAATACCACAGATTTTTAACTGATCTCCTTCCATTAATTCTTAGACCATTCTCCATGCTGCTTTCCAGAATGATCTTGCCTTTTACCGATTGAAATACTTTAGTGTCTTCTCACTCACTGTCTTCAGGATAAAAATTTGAATCCTGTAGGATGGCATGTGAGGTCTTTCATGATCCAGCTTGCCTCCCTGGCTTTGCACCTCATTATCCTCCCCAAACCCCCTTTTATTGGGTGGGTTTTTCCTCTGATAGCTATCATTTTCACTTGTGGATTTTATATCATTTTATAGATACACTAGGGGCCCGGTGCACGAAATTCGTGCACTGGGTGTGCAGGGGGAGGGGGGGGAGTGTCCCTCAGCCCAGCCTGCCCCCTCTCACATACTGGGAACCCTTAGGCGTTGACCCCCATCACCCTCCAATCGCAGGATCGGCCCCTTGCCCAGGCCTGACGCCTCTGACAGAGGTGTCAGGCCTGGTCAGGGGACCCTCATTTCCCCCCATCACTGGTTCCGGCCCCTTGCCCAGGCCTGACGCCTCCGCCAGAGGTGTCAGGCTTGGACAGGGGACCCCCATCTCCCCCCGATCACTGGCTCTGACCCCCACCCAGGCCTGAGGCCTCTGGCCCAGGAATCATGCCTGGGCAGGGTACCCCAGATATCTCCCTCTGATCGCTTGCTCCACCCCCCGCCCAAGCCTGACGCCTCTGACCCAGGCTTCAGGCCTGGGCAAGGGGACCATCATATCCCCCCAATCCCTGGCTCCGCCCCCCACCCAGGCCTGATGCCTCGGCCAGAGGAGTTGATCCTCATCACCCTCCGATCACCAATCACCAGATCGGCCCCTTGACCAGGCCTGAGGCCTCCGGCCGAGGTGTCAGGCCTGGGCAGGGGACCCCCGCTCCCCCTGGTTGCAAGCTCCGCCCCTGCCCAGGCCTAACGCCTCTGGCCTAGGCATCCGGCCCGGGCAGCGGGGACCCGCAGCTGCAGTGGCCCCGCGATCGTGAGCTTCGCTTTAGGCCCAGGCAAGGGACCCCTAGCTCCTGGGACTGCCAGCTTCGACCATGCCCAGCTCCCATCGCTGGCTCCACCCCTACTTCCTGCTATCACTGGCCAGGGCGGA